TGATCTCATCCTGGCCTCCTCCCCCACTGGAAGAAACAGAGCGGCTGGACGAGCACACGATTGCCGTCCTGTCCCCATTCCGCCGGGATGCCATTAAAAGGTTATGAAAATACTGAGCGGGAGGGAGAAGGGAGTTATCCATCCGCTCCCTTTGCTGCAAGGGCCTCCCTCCTCTGCAGGCCCAGGCCCATCATGGAGGAGGAAAAATCTGCTTAAAACAAACCCTAACTGCTCTCAAGGATCAAAGATATGCCAGAGCAGCCAGGACAGCATCTCCTAGTATGTGCAGGCTCCTGGGTTTAATCAGAATGGCACATTATCCACCCAAAATTAACTTCTGCTCTGCAACTCTCAGGTTTCTGGAGCAGCTGTGTTTGCTAACCACTGAGGGCGAGAACTTTTATTCAAATAAAATACCTGTGCACTTCACATGCAGCTACTCTAATGGCAGTCAGGCAAACAGATACTCAAACTCTTGTGCTCCCAGAGCCCTTTGATATGAAAGTCTCATTATCAAGGTCTTTATCGGCCATAAAGATTAATTTCACCACTGAAATGGCCTTTTTTCAGGTAGCAGACATCACACCCCTCCAGCTGCCACAGATGAGGGAACAGCGCTTTCAGCAGCTGACATTTCAGAGGGCAGAAAGTTGCACTCAAACCATATCTTCTTCCAGAAAAGCTACAAGCCCTGAAAGCTTTGGCTGAAGAAGTTCATGCAAATCCCAGAGAATCCCTCAGAAAAGCTGCCATGTTTCCCACTGAGGGCTGACTCTTCTGATGACCATCCAGTTAGTCTGCTCCAAGGAGATGGCCTGTCCTTGCAGCGTAGCTGCTGCTTTCCCTACTTTCCCCTTTCTGCCACCACCTCCCCAGTAGCTTATCTACACGGGTATTTCTGTTGTCGCTCTAAGTTGGATACTAATTTCATCCTGCAGCATCTCATTATAATTAGCTCTTAACTGCCACTTAACACAGGGATCATTTCGGAAGACCATAATGATTCTTCCTTGAGGAATTATTTCAGTGTTGAAAGCTCATTATGTGCCCCTATAAACGTTTCGGGTACTGAGAATGAATCAAGAGGCAAATTTAAAACACCACGGCTCACACAAACTCTGGATTTGCACAGTTTCCTTGAGTACTACTAGCATTTCCAAGGAGAAAACCACACAAGTTGGTGTGTTTTGCTACCAGGCTCCCTCCCCCTGGCACCCCCCATGTCTTTATACTGAAAATGGGAATGTTTTAAGGAGCACCTGTAAAATATGAGGGGAAAATGCACAGGACAGTTGCGTTGCCGCCACACATTGCTGCTGCTCTGCTGGAATTGGTGCTCTCAGCCAGGTAGAAGCATGGAGGACATCCCAAAGACTCTGCACTTCACAGCAGGCAGCCACTCAAAGAGCCAAGGGCCGAGCAGACTGTTAGAAGAAACTCATCCATAGGCACACATAAAGCTTCATCCAAGACTCGCTTTGTTCCTGAGCAAGTTAGACTCCTGCAAGATTTGAAAACAGACAATTTACCAAATTCTTACCAAGATCTCCTGCACTCTCACAGCAGAACCTGAGTGCCAGTCCACTTTATGTAGTCATCTGCCTGCCAGGGCAGCAGTGAGGAGACAGAAAGATGGGACTGATGCTCTCTTACCAGGTAATGCCTCATATGTACCGTGTACCTTAAACCAGCCATCCTGCCAACAGGCAGTTTAACGTCTGGTTGCAAGTTTGGTAGGGTCTGAATGGTGGCTGAGCTCAAACAGCTTCTGGGAAAACACTTACAGGCTCCAAACAGAAAAACTTTTTGGAGAAGTGCCTGTGATTCACAGTCCTTATGACTAGCGAGTTTCTTCTTTTTGAAACACACTTAAACAAGCCTCTAACATGTATGAGAAAATAAGATGCTCAGAAGACACGCCAATACCCTCACACAACCACCTCTTCAGCAGCAGCCCCTCCACCAGCAGACAGACCCAGAGCCGACAGCAGCGTGAAATACCAGCTCAAGGAAGACCCTGGGAAAGGTCTGCACAACCCATCTAATTATCTAGTGAAAGCCTATAATGTGCCCGTTTGTTAATACACTGATGTTTGTATGGCTAAGCGGGGTCCTGGGAGGGGAATTTCCCACAAGCCGTAAGAATATATTCCTAAATGCATTGTACAGCACAGAGAAGTCTTTTGCAACAGAAATAGAGGAATGACTCATTTCCTCTGTAGCTGCTGCTCCGGCGCTTCATTTGCACAGGCAGTGGAGCAGCTCCCTGTGTCATGCCAGCAGGAATTGGGAAAATCAGGAGCAGTTTCCAGCATACGTAAACCTAGCTGAATTTCAACCAGGGCTTGTCTTTAAAACCAGTGATCCCGAATTGTCATCTGGCGTAGCAGAGGAGACAGATGTGCAAATGGTTCCCAAGCACTCCCTCCCTTGATGGGAGTATTGTATTTCAGCATTTCAGTTTTGCACAGCACAGAACACTGGAAGAGTGAGCAGGAAGCTGCTCTCTCAGCTCTAAGTTTCTCTTCTCCCCTACTTGAAACTGGAAAGGAGCGGACTGAAACAGCAGTGGAGAAGTGGGCTGCCTTGCTGGATTTTGCTATTGTCCTTCTGCTGTTCCTACAGCTAGTGGGTTTCTATCAGAACAGCAAGACTCTTCAGAACAACTCTTCCACTTTCTCCACTAGAAATCCATCACAAGGGTAATTTTTCATCCTTAATTTGACAGCTAGTAAGCTTCACATCATAATCCCCATCACTCCTGTCTTCTTGATTCCTTACCTTCCTTTTTTTATTTTCCCACCCTATAAACTCTTTGCGGCAGGGATAGAAGCCTATAGAGGATCAGAAGTATCATGAAAACACTAGAAAACCCTTATTACATCCAGTCCAGCCCCAAGAACTGATTATTCCATATGCAGCTTCGGTTTTAGAGGGGAAAAAAATTCCCAGGGGTTTCAAGAAATGCACAGCTGTAACTTGAGTACACAGAAATTTTCTGAGTCTCTGAATCAGCGCTGCTATACTTTAAGGGGGAAAAATAAGGCTTCCTTAACACAGAAGACTGGTACACGATGACATTTGATGCATAAGCATTTGTAACAACCTTTAAGAGTTTTGCGTGTAAATTGTTATTTGAATCCGAACAGACTGTCGCACAGATACAGAACATACGTTATCTATAGCTCTGTTGCTGATGGAGTATTATGGTGCTTTGAATCAGTGCTTATAAAGAAGACACAAATATGCCAATTCTTGGTTACATATTTAAAAGAGGACACCGCAGGCACATACACCAGAGCACAGGTAGCCTCTTAACTAGGCACACCATATGTCTGAGAAACCCACGGCAGTAACATAATGTACAGGCAGATCTATGTATGGTCAGCCCTCCATATCCTGCTTATTTTGGAGTTGGGAGCTACTCAGACCCCTCGAGTAAGCAGAGTGCCCCGCTCTGAAGCATGAGGAGGCACTGAAGGTGAAACCACACACTTAAAGGGGTGCAGGTCCTTGCCCCTGTGTTAACCGCCGGCTTCCCAGTGCTATTGGCCCAACAAAAGGGGGGCTGGCTGCTTTTCTGCCAGCTGCTCAAATTAATTACCATCAGTCAGAGCGTCACTTACCTCAGGGAAGACTCACCAGAAAGACATCTGAAGAGGTGACACAGGAAATAAACAGGCCTAGAAAAGAAATTTTTTCATGTCTGAACTCTTTTGGAGCCTTATGAAAATTAGATGCACAAATAAGAGTCCCTTCCCCTCCAGGCAGCTTTAACTTGTATTAGCAGTACTTAATCAGCATTTCACTACTGACCTTGGCTGCATTACAAGAGAGGTATTTGCACAGGGATGGAAAGATTTTAAACAATTTATCTAATGACTTGGACGCAAACAGGCTTTTCTTTAAACACCAAGTATGCAAGCCCTTAGGCCAGTTAATTTTTTGTTAACAGATTTATCGCGAAAGGAAACTGCTATGTTTCTTTAATGATTTTCTGCTGAATAGAAACTTGGGCTTCAAACTGAGAAATATTTCAGACCAAAGAATGAATGGAGACCAGAGGACAGTTACTGCTTTTAAAGGAAGTCATTCATACGAGATAACGTTATTAAAGACATAAAGATCTAAATACACTTCCTCCATGTTGACTTGGGTGACCGAGTGTTGACACTAAAGGAATAACATTATTCCAGCCTTTGCCAGCCATTCTTCCCAGCCTTTTGCCATGAGCCAGCTGGGCTGTCTCAGCACGGTACCAACTACCGCTGCCCTCTTACAGAAGCTACTCCCTGCAAGGCAAGAGGCAGGCACGCAAAGATCTGGAGGTATTTTCAGCCTACCTTTGATTTAATGATTGAAATGCTAGGGGTCCTGCTGTTATGTCTTTCTTTAATAGGGCACATCAGCACAAGCCACAAGTGTATAGTTCTGGCATCTTACCAAAAACTAATAAAAGGACAGGTAACTCGCTGGTCCATCCACCACACAACTTCTGCTGGCTTCAGGAGGATTTTTTCCACATTTAATAAAGCCGTGACCTACGCAGTTTGGAACGAAGACATACCTGTACATGCCATGCTGAAAAGCTCACACAGGTACTGTGAAATGAAGGTGAAGTCCTAGCTCTTCATCATGCACCAGAAAAAAAGCATATTTTACGCAGCGACCTGAAACTGGAGCCAGGGAAACAAGAACTGAATCCTTCTTAACCTCTGAGCAAGACAGCCACAAACCCCAACGTGCTCCATTTCAAAAGTCAGCACCACCACAGACGCTGCCAACCACCCTCCCGTCTCTCTCCTGGCTCTCCTCCCGTATCCCTCTGCACAACTCCCAAGGCGTGGACTTCCTGCTTTCCTAGGGTTTTGCCACTTTAGTCTCCTCCTAAAGAGCACATAAACCTGTTGATCGCAGTTTTGTGGCTGTAGGTAACTTCTACTGAAAAAAGATAACAAGGAATTTAAATCTTGAGGCATAGACGCTTTAAAACAGCTGTTTATTACTACAGTGAAATATTAAAGCAAAACCACCAACTTTTTATGGAAACAATAAAAGTGCAAATGTATTTTGACATTAAATAGGAAACGAATTTATAAATGTTTCATTAAAATGGGCTGACACTTTGAGCCTATAAACACTTTTTTTTTTTAAGAAAATAAAACAATAGCAGCTGAACACTTTAATCTTTGGTCTGATTATTAACCAGCAAAATTAGTTGTACCAAGAACATCCATTGCAAACAGACACTTAAAATTTACATTACTCTGCAGAGATTCAAAATCAAAAGAGGAATGTTTTCCAGATATTAAGTCAGAAAAGAAATACTGATGTCTTTGAGAAATACACATTTTTCAATACAAAATGAAGTCACGTATATGCATTTTGGTACTGTAAATAAACTTATTCTCTTGTAGATGTGACTCCTCTTCCAAATCAATGTTCAATAAAAACAACTTCATTTGCACAGAGTCCTTGCAAAATTATGTTGCAGGTAAAGACAACCAAGAACCCACATAAGTGCTAAATAACTCTCTTCTGTGTTTGTGTTTCAGCTTACTCACACAGAGGCATCCATGCTTGAACCTATGATACATTATAACAGTTACAACCTTAAACACATACAAATTCATAACCTTGTTCTGCGTCCAGTATCCATGGGTTGGGAGAAGAAGGAGAAGGCAAAAGGCCCACGGGATTACTCATGTAGGTAAAGTTGTCTAAACATCTCCTTGCAGATAAGGCTCTATAATAGCTCCAGGACGCTGCAGGTACCAGTCCCATCACGTTTGTTGTGGGGTAAGATGAATAACATAACAGAACCCAACTTTTATCAGCTCCTTTTGTCAATCATATTCATGAATGCATGCTTGATAGCAGATAAAGAAAATACAATTAATATCTCAGTTGTGCAAGCAAGTCACAAGTTAGTCTAAGAGATGTCCTCAGACCTCCCACCATGGGCACGCTGCCTTACTGGCAGGAAGTCCCTGCTCCTCAAGATAGCCTGCCCAAGCCTAAGGTTAAAGCAAACACATACATTTTCTCCCATCACCAGCCATCACAAACTCAAAACTGCCTTGCTGAGCAAAAACTCACACTGAAGACCTGCCTGCACGGCTAATAAACTGAGGGTTTGCCTCACTCTTCAGCCCTGATGGATTCAACCACTTTGGAAAATATTTGGAAATACTGCCAAAGCAAAACCCACTTAAATCTCTTTTCCCTACACTCCAAGCATGCCTGGCTTTCAATGGCTCTCCTCCAATTTTATCCCCATGTCCTTTGGCTTCTTTGCAGCGCTTCTTCACTGAGAGTTTACCCTCATTCTCACTCACCCCTCAGCCCAGCCTCCATCTTCTAAACTACTTATATTCTCCACCATCTCTCCTTGCCATGCATTTCCTGATGCAACTGTCTTTTCCTAGCACTACTACATTTTAGTGAGAAAGTCTTTACAAATCTCTTACAGATTTTCATGTATCACAGCAATACTAAACACACACCAAATGTGCATCCCTTTTTTGGAAAAAAGGCCACTTGTCAGAGACAGGGATGCACAGTGATGTAAACAAACCGACCACTGATTGAAGTGGTTACGATGCCTGAATTAACAGCCAAAGGGTTTTTATGTCATGAGTTCAGGCAGTCACAATACCCCGGGACGGTTACCTTGTCCTTCTTTGGGCAAAAGATTCAATGGCATTGATTGCAGAACTGCATTTTATTTCAAACACCAAGTAACACTAGTCTGCAAAAACAGTATATGCCATGGGCTACTACCATAAGAAAAATCAAAACACCAAGGTAGCTCACTTTTAGCCTTAAATACCATGTGCAAAGAACATTTGATCAATACTACCTATAAATACACCATTTGTATTTGTATAAAGAAGCACAGTACTTCATATATAAAAATAACCCAACTTGTGGGTGTGACCTAGGCTATAATTACCTGAAAATAAGACTGCAAGAGCAGTTAAAAAATACACAGAAGTAGGCAAACATCTGCCTAGGGAGTGTTTCCATTTAGAAAAATAGATTTCTATAAAGCTTCATAGATTTTGCAAATGTTTGTTTTGTGCTCTGATGCATGGAACTGTGTATAAAGCACACCGGTATCTCCGCGTACATCAGGGAGAGAAGGAGTGTATTAGTAACATCCAATTTTCCTAAAGCTTGCCAGAAGTTACACTTGGTCATTTATAATTCATTTCAGACCGCTCACCTAGGACATGGTATAGCGGATAATAAGGCACAAGCTCAGCTTCCTGAGAGCCAGCGACTCAGTAACACATTTTGGGTCTTAATGCATCAATTACTGGAGCAGGTGACCCAATGAAGCAAGGATTTGAAATTCTGAATTTGCCAAGACCCTGGGTTACGAGGCTCCTGTAACCCCAGGTACCTGCACCAGGAAATAAGGACACTTGCAGAGCTGGCTGTGTTACAACTCACCAGGTTATTCCAGCGACTGGGACATCACCAGGTGAGATGTGGAAACTACCTAGCTGATGTCCGTATTTACAAGACACCAGAATCCACAGCCTAAGACTGCCATTGTGCCATGAATCAGTGCTAAATAATTCTGAAGTACCCTGAAATATTTCACCTCCTCCTCCCCGCAACAAGATAACAATTTGCTATAGCACAACACTATAAAATCCCATCGGGTTATTTGGTCAAAACACTGCCACAATCGGACAACTGGTCAGGCGGTCATCCAAAAATCCCACCAAACTCCTACCAGAGCTGGAGGGTGCAGCAGTCATCTTACAGCACTGAGATTTGGACTGGTTTAAGGTTTGTTCCAAAGAAAAAAACAAAACAACAAAAAACCCCCCCAGAATTTCTTAGTTTTGTTGTTGGTCCTTGAGGTAAAGCAAATTCTAAGAAAACAATACTTGAAACTGGAAAAAAAAAAAATACATCTCAACAAGAACTGACAAACGAACCTCAGAGTATTTCCTTAAAAGAAGGGCTTCCTCAGGATGATTCAAACATCATCCCATTCACAAAATACTAATGCCTCCTCCAGAGCAAGTATTTAGTGCAGCCAATTATCCTAAAAACAAGGCCCTTGTGAAAATAAAGTGCTATTTGTTTTATCTATATTTCAGTACTTCAGTATAGCCTTCACTTGAACACAGAAACACGCAACTGGATTCTTCATGCTCTTATCGGAGAGGTTTTGCATCTTCCATCAATTTTACATTAACACCCACAATATATTTCTCTTGAGTGCAATGTATTCAATTACACAGAAATTTAAAGCATGTCATTGAGCACTTCAAACAGTGATCAACACCCATGGTCTAGTGCTCATTGCGTTTTAAGAGCATCTTGGTACAATGCCAAATGGATTTTATATCATAAAAAGTGAATCTCAGGAAAAGGTCAATTTTGCCACTAAGACAACAAGTTGACATGGATTTCCAGGAATGTCAGTTTGAGCCTGTTAAAAGTTAGGTTTGCAAACAGCCGATTGTACATAACACTTCTTGTCTAAGGCACTTCCCCAGAAATTTCAGTTTACCCATGAACAATGAACAAGATTAAACAAACAAGAATCACAATGTCATTAAGTCTTGGCCTCTGGTTTCCTAGTTTTCTCAGGTCAGGGACAAAACCACAGAACCACATTTAAATGGGTCCCACCTTCCCGAGGCAGACACGGGCTCTCAACGGACCAGCAAGCTGGGAGCATCCGCTGCCCTGGCGGGGTCCACAGGTGACACCAGCTCACCCGGCTGCTGGATCACTCTCCTGGTGGCTCCTGCCTGGCCTCGGCGACGTGCCGGCACGGGGTGGGCACTGGTCGCAGGTAGCGGGGGCTGCTGTACATCCTGATGACGTGCGTGGCCTGGATCCAGGTGTTGATCAGCTGGAAGGCGATCAGGTCCAGCATGGCCCCGTCAAAGGCTGCCAGCAAGTTCACTGGGGCGGCTTCCTTGAGGAATCGGGGCAGCGCCACGGCCTCAGGGAGGCTGCTGTTGCCCAGGAAGAAATGCATCAGCACCTGCTTGCGCAGGCAGTCCCTGAGGTACAGCACCAGGTCCTCCAGCCGCTCCACCAGGAACCGCTCGTCCCAGGCCTCCAGAGGCCCCTGCAGCAGCAGGGAGAAGAGGGCCGTCTTCAGCACGTAGGAGGAGAGCACCCGGCCCCATTGGGAGCAGAAGGGCTCCTCCAGGCCGTGCCCACGGAGGTCCCGCAGGCCCTTGAGGATCTGCAGACATTTGAGGTGGCAGGAGGAGGCTGGGGCCTGCTCCTTCAGCCAGCTCAGCAGCCGCTGCTCCTGCCGTGAGGTGTTCAGGCCCCAGAGGGCCTCAGAAGCCAGGGGGCCCTGCGGGCCCTCGGGTGGCAGGGCCGTGAGGTAGAGCGCGTCGCCGAGGGGGATGGCGGGGATGAGGCGCACGGCCATGGAGATGTGGCAGCAGACGTAGTCGGAGCAGGGCAGGATGTGCAGCGTGGGCGGGCGCCCGGGGCAGGCCGAGAGGCTGATGCGGCAGCGCTCCTGCAGCCGGTACCGCACGGCGCCCAGGCACCGCTGCAGGTGGCCCTGGAACCAGCGCAGCACCAGCCCCGAGGAGAGGTGGCTGCGGCCCTGCAGCTCCACGCAGAAGCCCTCGGCGAAGGGCCGGTAGCGGCGCGGCCAGCCGGCCCTCGCCCGCAGGCCGCAGACGAAGGCGCCGTGTGCCCCCAGCCCCTCGGCGGAGTGCGGCTGGGGCTCCAGGTGGGGCGGCAGCCGCAGGGGCACCAGGATGTCGAAGCAGTCGGGGCTGCGCACCTTGTGCTGCTCGTAGGCGCTGCCGACGCGGACGAAGTCCCCGCGCAGGCTGAGGGCCAGCGGGCCGGGCTGCAGCCCCTGCGCCTTGGCGGCGCGCACCAGCTCGGCCACGACGCGCCCGACGTGCGCCTTGCTGTGGCCCAGCACATGGGGCGAGAGCCGCAGCTGCCGCCCGTAGAAGCTCTCCAAGGCGCTGCGCCGCGACGCCGCCGCCGCAGCCGCCGCCCGGACCCCGTCGGGCCTGGGGCCGCCGCCGCCGCAGCAGCGGGCCAGCAGGCAGCCCAGCAGCAGCAGCGCCGAGCCCTTGAGGAACGGGACGGAGCCCGCCTCCGCCGCGCCCTCCCCGGCCGCGCCGCCCCGCAGGGCCTGGTAGAGGCAG